TCTTTTGGACTGATGCACTGTCACACCCGCTGACTGCCATTAAACAGCTTGGAAGATCAAAGACAATTTTTAATATAACTCCAACTGGATTCGTCTGAAAGAAGAAAGTCACATACACCTAGGATGCCTTGAGGGTGAGTAATTTATGGGCTAATTTTCATTTTTGGGTGAACTAACCCTTTAAGAGCAAAAAGGGTCTTCTGCATGTAAGAATAAAAAGATAAGTGAAGATAGTGATGTTACAGTGGAATATCACGCCAGCCAGAGCTTGGCCTTGAAGAATGTCCTCTTCAGGCTTTGAAGCACCAATGCAAGTTTCAAGATAACAGCAAGCATACAATTACCATGTGAACCCCACAGAAACACTGGCCACTTCTTAGCAAGCCTCACTGGGAATCTCCTCAGGCCGGGGCAGGAGTCACCAGTCCTGAATCAGTCAAACTGGCAGATCCTGTACGGCGGCTGCGACCTTTCAGCCATCTCTCACTGGAGACACGGCACTTAACTGAAACCTCTGCCAGGGGGCAAACAGGAAATTTCATCTCGACAACAAGGATTCTTCCTGTTTGCAGCCATGTGTTATTCCCAGTTACAGATGTCACTCCTTCTTTCGAGGGATCCGTGTGGATATCGATGATCTGTTCTTCTCATATTTGTTCTTGCAACCTCGACAAGTAGAGTGCCCATTAGCACCCACTCCCGGTGGTGTAATTCACTCTAAAGTGGACCAAATTTGCTTGTAGAGGGAAGTAAAATAATTCTGCTGTGACTCACACTCGCTCCCATTATCTCAGTGGGTTCTGGAGCTATAGGGCACGCGATAAGGATAGTTTCTTCCTTAAATGATGCAGCAGGGAGAGGCCGTAGTACACTGAAAGGTTAGCTTACTTCACGCTTCAGTAGAGGTCTAAAACAGGGTACAAGTAGGCAGGCAGAGGGTTTCCAGACTGCAGCAGCGTCTCACCCCAGCTGACTTCTTCCAGCAGCACTTAGGCGGAGCGAAGGCTGTGCACACGCGACTGCGGCATGTTGCTGCATAGCTGATTAGTGGAGGCTGCGCAAATAAACCATCCTACAGCTGTCTTACATCACACACATGCCAAGCTCTACAGAGAAACATTCATTTATAATTGCCTACCGCTGCTTAACGGCTGACATTTTCAGCATTTGTCCTAACGAATACTGGATGATCCTGGGGTTGCATTGCTGGGAATAAGTGCCTGAAATACAACAGAGGCATTTCCACAGTTGTGGGACTGATCTGCGCAATGCTGTAAAACTGTTGTGCCTTTTACAATCCGCAGTTTCTTCTATGCAATCCCTACTTTGAAGGGGAGAATGTGGCAGAATATTTTGGGAAGTGAAGGGTCAAGAATACCCCCAAGGTGGCATACATATGAGCCATCCTTGACTTGCCATTTCCTCGACAAATTGGCAAAAAATGGGAACCGCTACTGAATGAAACATTCATATATATTTGTCCACTGCTGCTTAATGGTTGCAATTTTCAGGATTTGTCTTAACGAATACGTAATTATCCTGGGGTTGCATTACTGGGAACATGTGCCTTGAAATACCGCAGAAGCGTTTCCATGTTTGTGGGACTAATTTACACAATGTCGCAAGCCAACTGTTAATCCGCAGCATCTTCTATACAGTCCCCACTTTGAAGGGAAGAATACTGCAGAAAGTTCTGGCAAGTGAAGGGTCAACAATACCCCCAATGTGGCATACATCTGGTTTATCTGAGGTGCTTCCTGACTTGCCATTTCCTCAACACACTGGTGACAACGGAAACCGCTACGGACTCAAAAGGCTACGTCTGAGATAAAATGTCGCACTGTTTAATTTGTTATATCACTGGCATGATTTTACGGCGAGCCGCACTTGGGTAAGTATAAAGTAAGAGGGAGGGGAGAGAGGACGGAGGAGAGGAGACAAGAGGGGTGCTCAGTCTTTCTGCTGCATTATTGAGGATGAGTGTTGGGTTCACTGAGGCATGTCGGCATTCTGAATCATTTACATCCTGCTAATGTCAGCTCTCATCTAGTGCTGCTACCTTCTGCATCCTTTCTTCATTTTTTTCTATGGAGTCTCCACCTCCCCATTTTTACATCTCCCTGGGACTATCCTCAATTATTGTAGGAGTAAATGGTTCACTTCCAATGCTATTCAGAAAGACTATCCTGGTTAGACCTGAACCAGATGGAAACGGATAAACAGGAGACTTGCTGCCACATTAAAGATCACATTGGGCTGAGATGAAGAGTATAAATGGAATATGGCCACATGCATCATATTCTTTCAAAGTTTGTATTAATTTTAAAACTAAACAAAACATTGTTACCAAACACTCTTCTCAATTCTCACCTCTCTACAGATACCTTGTAATGGGCAAAAAAGTGTCTTTACATGAACACGCCTGTTTTGTGAGCTATCCCAACACCCCAAAGGAGCAGAGATCTTAAACTTTTATAGGACAATATTTACAATTAGACGACACCAGCCTTAATGGAATCGACTCTGCCATTAAATGTTAAATCAGTCAGTCATGAAATTAAAACAGGAGAACACATGGGGGGAAAAAGACAGGAAGATGCAACATTACCACCTCCACTCTGTTCGCAGTAAAACACAAGAGAATCCTTGCTTTAAATGAGGCAAAAAAAAAGTCTGAAATGGTAACCACAGTCTCTTATGTTGTTGCAGGATGCTGATGAGCAAATGCAGTCTTTGTGTACACCAATTTTATGTATTTATTCACCCGAAGCTTAATTAAGATTCTGCCTGTTTAGTTCAGAAAATCTTCATGGCTATGATGTCACAACCTCGAGCTCATTAACATATGACCAACCTACATTCACACTTGTTTAGTATTCAGCTACTTTGCTTGGGCTGCTGAAAAACAGTATGAACTACTCAGGTTATTCAATCAGATTTCATTTACTTATACAAGTCTTAAAGGTGCAACAACAGCCCATTTGATTCAAAGGGGTCACAGAGAAGGTGGAAATCGGTCATGTGACACCTTGACAAACATCATAATGGACTGCAGAAGGCTGGATGGTAACACTTTACAACAAGCTCAATGTTCATTTATAAACATTATTTTTATTGCTAATTCATGTTTGTTCATAATACACTGGCTAATGCCAATTTATACAACTTGAAATGTTAAAATGTTTTAGTATATATAAAAAATAACATTAAGATTAATAAATGCTGTAAGTATTATTCATTTTTGGCTCATGATACCTACTGCATTGTTAACAAATTGAAACTTATTGTTAAGTGTTACAAAGAGAAAAAAAATAAAAATTTTAACAACTACACCTCAAATATACAAGTATAAAACAACTATAAAACTTTATTTAAGTCTAACTTTTACATAAATCTAAAGTTTCTGTTGGTGAACTAAGGATGGGCTTCCAGTTTGAGGCTCTATGGCAGTTGAAAAGTACCAGTGCCATTTTCTCAGGGGACTGAAATGTTTTTTTTACAAGATCTTTGTGAGTTTGAGTGCAGAAATCCAATGCTTTAGACCAAACTTCTATGAGAGAATCCCTGCCAATATTATTGAGTTTGACTTTTTTCATGCACACAAGCAAACCAAGCTGTCAAAAACTGCTCCGGATGGTTCCAAATTGTAAAAACGGGTCATGATGTGTCAGGAGTGTGTTCAGTCTGCTGGAAAAGTGACTTTTACTGAAATTTCACAAAGAAGGAGTGCTAGAGAGAGTTCATAGAAAGAGAGTTTATAGATATTTGTAATGTAGACATGCATTTTCTGTAAAGCTGCTTTGAAACAATGAGTATTGTGAAAAGCGCTATACAAATAAATTTGAATTGAATTACTTCCTGTGCAACATCTATGACAATAAAGACAAATTTAAGGGAACATTCATTCAAAGTTATCGACCGACTGATTGATTACTACAGAAAATTACTTAAAAATGTCCCTCAGTTGTTTAAAGAAAAACTAGTACCAACATCTCTTTCAGAAATAGATGTGGCACTCAATGTTTTTGCTAACTACAACTAAAATAAAAAAATATGAAAAGTAATATTCGTTAACTGAAATAAAGCTGAAATAAAATATAAATATTACAAAAAAATAATTTAAATGACAACCAAATGAAACAATATATGTTGAAATGTGTGTCTGTAGCAAACAAACTTTTGCTCTGCCTTGATGGATCTTGTACTAAATCCAGGTAATTTTGTTGAGCAAATATACTCCAAGACTGCATTTATGAAAAGATGCTTCCTCATATCTTGCCATTAATTTGAGCACTCTCTCATTCAGCTGCCAGAACACAGTTAATTATTGATTAATCATTACTACAAATGAACCCCAGTAATGATATTCTCACCAAATGATTTTATAAACCACTAAAGCAAAAACTACTGCAATTAGATAGAAAGAGACTCAATCTGTTCTTGGTGTCAATGTTCACTAAAAGTATAGACAGATTGTTCAATTCCAATCCATCAAAAGCAACACAGAAATAAAACACAGTAGTCTGCACTCATATGTCCCTTACATAAAAAAAAAAAAAGTTTATTATTATTTTCAGCTGCAAAGTGCTTTTTCAAAGAATACCTAAGAACTGTACAGACAGTGGCACCAAAATAGTGGCATTATAAATAGGGCCAATAAAACATGTAGCGGGAGAGTATGCAAGTATGAGTGCAAACATAAAAATAGAACAAAAAAAATACACACTGTACAATAAAAGAAGAAAATTATGAAATGTCTCTGCATCAGTCTAAACAGTCCTTTATTTTAAACAAACCTGTACTATTGAATAGCTCGGGGTCTTTTTCCACACGGACACAACAAAAGTGACAACCACATGTTTGATACTCCTTAGAATAAAAGCACAATCAGTATCACCTATCACCTGACCTCATCTGTAAATCTACACATCAGGTGCTTTCAGAAAACAAGCACGTCTGAGGCTGTGAAGAATGACAAAGAGGGAGAGACAGCCGCTTACCTCTTCGGCTGTCCATGACGTACGTCTCAATAATGGCACTCTTTTTACAGATGTCATCGGCCATTGAGGAGCAGCTGACCTCCAAGTGTTTCACCTGAACAGAGAGCACAAAGATAAGATCTGCAATAAACTGCCACACGCAACAACCACACGAAAGTGTGATAAACTGATACGGAAGCACACAGGTGTGGACACTGTGATCACTGCCAATGCGATTGGTTTTATCTTTAGAAAAGGCTCTTTAAATTCATTCATTTTAGTCGATTTTGCTATAAATTAATATCACAATAATGTTAGTCTATTTAATTTGACTGAAAATACATTATTTCAGCTATGTAAATTATCTTTACAATAATGTGAAAAAAAAGTCTTGTCTGCTCATCAAAGCTGCATTTATTTGATCAAAAGTACAGTAAAAATTGTAATATTCTGAAATATTATTACAATTTAAAATAACTGTTGTTTTATTGGAATACATTTCAAATGTAATTTATTCCTGTGATGCAAAGCTGAATTTTCAGCATCATTAATCCAGTCTTCAGTGTCACGTGATCCTTCAGAAATCATTCTAACATGCTGATTTGCTGTGTAATAAATATTATTTTTTTATTTTGATAAATGGTGAAAACTTTTTTTTTTTTTTTGAATTGGAATTTTTGATTAATAGAAATTTTAAAAGAACAGCATTTATTTGAAAATTTTCTAAAAGTTTTTACTGTCACTTTTACCCAATTTAATTTATCATTGATGAATAAAAGTATTAATTTCTTTGGAAAAAAACTATTGACTATCCCCAAACTTCAATGGTAGCATATATGTATATATAAAAAAATAAATAAATAAAAGATTAACTATATACATAGATAATATAAAAATTGTAATTAATATAATTTAAATTTAATTTAATTTAATTTAATTTTAAGAATTAATTTAATTCTTTCCTGGTTAAATAAAGGTTAAATTAAAAAATTATTTAAACATGCATCAAACATCAATTTAAACAAATGTATCAACTATTTTATATTTAATCTTAAGTTCACAAATGAAAAAAAAAAAAATTCTAAAAGACATTTTATGAAATCCAGATGATTTATGAAACAGCATATGAGTGGCACTGACATGTTTGAGTTTACAGTAATATGTCTCTTTGAAGCAGAAAGGGTGATGTAACTTGTCAAAGCCCTAACTACATATTTCCATTCCAATAGTTACTAACCAAGATTTAAAATGTGGAAACATCAATATCTGCATGCATATTTCATGATCCAAAGACACAATTCAGCACTTACAGCCCCCTATGGAGCACACAGCAGAACTGGCCGGGTGAAGGTTTGGTGCAGTACTGCAAACCTGGGCTGTTCCACGAGAGTTCAACTTTTCCTAGTAACATGAGACTACAATGAAGGTTAAAACGTCATACCTTCTCCTCCAGCATCCACTTCTCCTGCTGAACCTCGGCGAGCCTCTGGAAGAGCTCACTGACCTCGTCGTCCGAAAGGTCCGCAGGACGCTGAGACTGAGGGCTGCTGGTGTTGGACTGTGGAAAGAGAAATAAAACTTCACTGAAACATCTTTTTTACTTAAAAATATGCTGACAAGACCAGCTTAGACCAATATGAATGTTTTAGCAATGGGATTAAATAGACAGAAAGTCATCAGCGTTGTTACTGTTAACTAAAACTATTAAAAATAATTTTGGATCATTGAAATAAAGTTAAAATAAAATAAAATATTAAGACAAACGAAAATTAGAAATGTGCCTTGACAACTAATTGAAACTAATTTATGTTCAAGTTCTAAAGCTAAAAATAGTACTAAAGAACCAAAAGTGCAGTACTATTGTACTACCCTTACTAAAAACAAAAACTGAAATATAAATAAATTAAAGCTAAATAGAAATAACAAAAAAATTATGACAAAAGCACATAACTAAAACTGAAAATATTAAAACAAAACTACTTCAAAATAGTAATAAATACTATAACAGCATATAAGTAATACTAAAATAACACTGAAGGTCATGTAGGTTTAGAACAAGATGCGGGTATTTTCTTTTTTCTTTTTTTTTAAATAATTTTTGTGTGATCTATCCCTTTGAAACTTCTGTCATTTAACACAGTGTCATTCAACGTCACATGAAAGTCACAGGAAGGAATTCCATCAGCCTTGTACATGTGGTGGTCCTATTCTGTCCCTTAGTTTGTTTCAGGGCGTTTCAAGGAGCTGGAGACGATCCAATCAAATGACAGTCGACTCGTCCCAGAGACTCTCGCCGTCCCCTGTGTACACTATTTTCGTCCCATGAGTCTCATTTTCCCTCTGGCTTAAAAAAATGAAGTTCCCTTACTGAAGGTTGATGACGATTCTCCTTAAACATATCTTAAACATGCCTGATATGCATTATGTTTCAAATTGATGGCATAAAATGGGAGTCTGTGCTTTGATAAATGCATTTGAAAGTCAACTAGATGATTTATGATTGAGGCACCATTCATGTCTGTAGCACAAATGTTGAGGGATGAGTTGCATGGTGAAGTTTAAAACTTCCTAGTCTTAGAAAACAGCAATAATTAGTCAAATGTACCTCAAAGTTTGTGTTTTTCTTCACCAAACCACACTCATGTCCCTCAAGATAGTCCAGCATGTCACGACAACCATTATTTTCTCCCCTGTTTCTTCACAGGCACAGGATATTTATGGAATTTACACTGTTCAGGAATTTATTAAAGGGGTCATAGGATGCCCATTTTCCACAAGTTGATATGATTCTTTAAGGTCTTAATGAAAAGTCTGTAACATAGTTTGGTTAAAATTTCTCAATGGTAGTACACGCTTGAGGTATTCGGCCAATCACAATGCACTGGATAGCTGGCCAATCAGAGCACACCTCGCTTTTTCAGGCCGATGAGCTTTGTAAAAATCGACGCGTTTCAAAAAGGCGGGGCATAGAGGAGAAACAATAATGTACAGTATGTGGAAAATAATATGTTTTTTTAACTTTAAACCGCATAAACACATTTCATTACACCAAATACACAAAATAATGTTCTTTTTAGCAGCATCATATGACCCCTTTAAAATTTCTCAATGGTAGTGTGAAAAACACCTTTTTTTACCCTGTCAAAAACAGCTCTTTTCAGATCAAGTCGTTTTTGTAGCATTTTCCTTTAAATGTTAATGAGCTCTGCTGACCCCGCCCCTCTCTTCCGAGCCGCTCTCTGAGGGACTGTTTACTTTAGCCGCATTCATCGTGAAACTTGCTAATTAGCACATTATTAGGAAAGGCGATTTGCAAAGATTCATTACAAAACATTACTCTCACTTCTTCTGTAGATGAGGCTGGATCATGAATGATTCGCGCGAACATAGATGCATTTATGTAGTTCGGGGGCGCATTCGCTTCAGAAACAAACGTAATCCACTACGAGTTCAGCGGCTCAGATGTCGGGAGTAAATGAAGACTGCTATGTTCATTATTACATCCAACAACAAAACACCTCAATCGCTTAGGAGTCATTCTTGTCTACATCTGCTCCAGCGGTGAAACAATGGCGGACTGATGACAGCTCACTCAGGGCGGGTCTAAGGTAAGACGCCAGTCCAGTCTGTCAAACTATCGTGGGAGGGGCCTGTTTTTGTGACGTCACACAGACAGGCATCTGAGATCAGCTCGATTTGAGAAAGGGGAAAACATTTAACCAGATTAAAAAAAAAACAATGGGTGGATTTTTATCATTATAGGGCGGTTGTGTACACACACTGCCAACACACATTTCAGTTCAAACAACTTGTAAAAGTGCATGTAGCATCCTATGACCCCTTTAAACGCTTCTGGAGGTCAGAAATGCTCCTGGGAGCCAGAGAAAAGGAAGCGTCAACTGTGGCGACAGTATTTGCAAGGGTCGTTGGCCCCCTCTACCTTATTGGTGCTGGGAGCCGAAGCCCCGTCTTTCATGATCTCTCTGTAGCTGAAGGAGGAGATGCTACTGCTGTCACCCGTCTGCTGCGTATGGCTCGGCGAACTGATCTCAGACAACACCAGCTCCTCCAGACCTGTAAATATATACATGACCCAAAAAGAGGAATATTTTAACAGCATAAATCACTAAGCGCTGTAGGTGAGCTAGAAAATGGCAGTGGGTTAGATTGTGCATATTTCCTGCAGCAGCTCACTCAACGTACTTTTTTATGTGTCAGAAACATTTACAACATCAAAGTATATTAATATGAATGCTATTGCCTCATTTTCTATCTTGTTTGAAAATATACTGAAATACTGTCCAGTCCTAGATACTATAAAATAGCAGTTTCCAGAAACAGGTAACCGCTATTTTGATCAACAACTAGTTACTGCAAGGCAACTATTAGTAGGCCGAAATAATAATAAAACTGCATTTGCAATCTACAGAGAGTACGTAGGTCAACAAACAAGGAATCACTACTGAGTAATCTATACTAGAGCTAAGCATGCTAACATATTACAGGCTACTTAGCAGAACGTCATCCATTAATACCTGCACTCACGGACCGAGAATCTACAAAGTAAACAATTCACAAAAGTTAGACGCCATCCATTTTATGTAACATTTAATTGTATGGAATACACTAATGTTCAAAAGTTTGGGTTCAGCAAGATTAATACTTTTATTCAGCAAGAACAAATGAAATGGATCACAAGTGACAGCAAAGACATTTATAATTACAAAACATTATTTCAAATAAATGCTGTTGATTTTTACATTTCTATTGAAAAAATCCTGAAAAAAATTTATTAGTTTCCACAAAAATATTAAGCAGCACTATTTTCAACACTGATAGTAAGAAGAAATGTTTCTTAAGCAGCAAATCAGTATACTAGAATAATTTATTTCATTCATAATGTTACAAAAGATTTTTATTTCAAATAAATGCTGTTCTTTTGAACTTTCTTTTCATTAAATTATCTTGAAAAAAAATGTAAGATGGTTTCCACAGAAATATTAAACAGCACAACTATTTTAAATAAAAAGAAAAGTTTCTTGAGCAACAAATCAGCATATTAGAATGATTTCCAAAGGATCATGTGACTGGAGTGATGATGCTGAAAATTCAGCTTTACCATCACAGGAATAAAATACATTTTAAAATATATTAAAAGAGAAAATAGTTATTTTAAATTGTAATAACATTTCACAATATTACTGTTTTTACTGTATTTTTTTTTATAATAAAAAAATGCAGACTTGGTGAGCATAAGGGACTTCTTCCAAAAACATTTTAAAAAATATTACTGTCCCCAAACATTTGAACATATTTACATATATATATATATATATATATATATATACTGTGTGTGTGTATATATATATATATATATATATATACTGTGTGTATATATATATATACATACTGTGTGTGTATATATATATACTGTGTGTGTATATATATATATATATATATATATACTGTGTGTATATATATATATACATACTGTGTGTGTATATATATATACTGTGTGTGTGTATATATATATAAGCTCTGTTCCAAAAATTAGTAAGCTGCCTACTTAGACAGCATTTTAAGATGTCAATGTTGTGTTAACACAAAGGCCGTTTCAAAAGGAAAGTTCTGAGATACCTTGGTTTACAGACTGAATAAAATCAATAATATGTAATAAATAAATATACTGTTATACTATTCAATACCAAAAAAGTATGCATAAATAGTCTAATCAAAAGCTGGCTATTTTATCCATTAGTTGTATGCTATATGTTTTCAGAGTATGACATTGTTAGCTTAGCAGCATGCTAAATCAACCTCCACTGGAATCAACTGAGTTGAGTCTCTTTTGGAGTTTCCATTTCTGTTGAGATGCTCCCTTAGAAGGTAGTTTATTTAGGTAGTAGCAAGCTCACTAGTTATTGGAGCAGAGCTATAAATGTTGCTTTTAAAAAAAGAAAATTATAAATAGAATACAACAATGAACACTAAATATATAGTGCAAAGTTGTGACCTTCTTCCCCCCACAGATTGGGCCAGTGAACCAAAACACATGCCAAAATCTCTCTGAGAAAGTGTGTGTTTGTGTGTGTGTGTGTGTGTGTGTGTGTGTGTG